ACCCTGATGCTCTTTGTGTTTGTTGCGTATTCTCGTGCATCCTGGGGGAGGGCACCATCGAATGTTCTTCAGCCTTGCCGGCGGTTGGGTCTCATGTTCTCTAAGGATGTCATAATATCCCAGGTCCAACCGTACCTTTAGATTCGGCGTCGCAGTTCGCATCACGGTCTTTCATACAATCCGTGACGTAACCAGCACGGTGCTCTCCAGGACTATGCGTTCACTGCCCATGAGCCTGTATCTGCGGTTTGGGGTCTTGCCTTTCGCGTGCTCGTTCCCCGTTCCGGCGACTTTCGCGGGCTCGGTACCCGTCGGGCGCAAACGCGTGCTCGGAGAACCCCGCCCGATCGCTCCCAGGCAGTGCGAGGGGCCTGGAAGGCCACGGACATGTCTTATGATGTGTCCACATGAGGAAGCGTTGCAGTGGTGCGGCAGTGGAAGCCCAGCGCTGCGCGCACGAGTGCCGATGCACCACGCGCGGTCTATCCTGCACGTCACTAGACCTGCAGGCGAATGGCTTTCCGAGGCATGCCCTTCTTCTACACGTCACGTCAGGCGTGTTTGGGACGCGGCATCTACCGAGCTGCTTGCACGCAGCTCTGCAACAGCCCCGGAACAGTTGAGGAGGGGAGGGGAGCAAACATAAACGAGTGATGACGACCACCCATTGTGTTGTGACGTTGCCGTGTCCCGCCTTAGAACGTGAGCGCGCGAAGCACGTGCGTGCGGTTCTAGTTCTCGTGCATGTGTGTAGACATATCTCTGTGTATAGTGGTACGATGAGCACTGCACATGGGTATACGCACATGAACATTCAACATGTGTGATCGTTGTTGTATGCTATCTGCATGTATGTAAATGCGGTTGTGAGCCCAGACAGGGATGAAAGGTCTTGCGAACCAAGCCGATACACATATATATATATATATATATATATATATATATATATATATATATATTATACCTACATCAAGAGAAGTCTCGCGAAATGCAATATTGTGATCATCTGGTGATACATGGATACGTCTGTGTCGCTTGGGTCCACGCTCTGGAATGAGCAGCGTCGTCTTCATGCTCGCCCTCAGTGTCACCGTGCTGTTTTCTGTATGTAGCATACGAGCTTCTGCTTGTGCTGTCTGCTGCAAACCAGGCCTACCATCTACACTTTGGGTGTTGACGGTAGGCTAACCGCAAACCCCAGATAATGCAGCATCCTCCCCCTTCCCAGCTCGGATTTGATTATCCCCAGCCAATACAGAGTTGGTCGGGGGCAAGGGGGGGCAAGTCCGAGGTTCGCTTTCGCAGGGGAAAGCTACGAATCCAAGTTACTATTTTCCAATGTCGTCTAGCAGCATAAGAAGATGCTCGCAAGAGAGGTTTCCTGGCGAGGAGCGCTAAGGATCTGAAGAGTGCGAGCAAGCTTTAGGATCTCAAGAACACGTGCCAAGGATCTCAAGAGCATGGGCCAAGGATCTCAGAGCAGGAGGAACACATCATCGTCGTCATCGTGGTCGTCTTGCCGGGGCAAATCGTTTACTATCCCCGGTGGACCCCGAATTTTCTTATCCCCCAGGTGTTCTTGTAAAGGAGTCTCGGTTATTTGTTCCGTCCGGCACCTCTGAGCGCATGGGGTTTCCCTCAACCCTTGTCGTCGCGCCTCTTTTCCTGCTCCTCCCGCCCCCTCATTTCGATTCCTCCGATTCGATTCGATTCGATTTCGATTGTTTCTGAATCCGAACATGTTCGATTTCAGATTCCTACTTGGACTCCGATGTTTCAATAAGGCCTTCATTACTCTCCCGATTTCCGCCGATTCGATTCCTCCCGACCTGGCTGCCGATTTCCGCCGATCCGCTTCACGTCGATCGCTGTTTCGACGCATCGATTCGATTCTGGGATCTCCTGCCCCTTGCCCTCCCACGCATCCGCGCTCCCCTCCTGGCCCCCCCCCCTTCCCACCGCATGCGCAACTCCCCTTCCCTCCCCTTCCCACCCCTTCCCCCCTCCCCTCCGCGCTCCCCCCGAGGCAACTCCTGGCCCCCCCCCCCCCCTCCTGCCGGGCAGGACCGCGTCCTGAGCGACGGTGCCCTGCGTCCGATGGGCCCCCGCCGGCCCCGCCCCGTGGCGAGGCGCGGCCATGGGAGAGACGGGCGGCCCAGAAAGGTCGCGCGCCACCCGGCGAGCCAGAGCAGTGCTCACTGCGATCCCTCCGACTCGGGTCGATTCGACCTCGATGGCTCCCGATCGAGTTTCGACTTCGGATGCCGGCCTGGAGGCCGACCTCTCCACGGAGGTCCGATTGGCCTGCCGGCTTCCGCCGCGTGGGCTCCTCCCGACTGGTCCTGCCGATGTCCGCCGATCCGATGCGCTTCGGTCGCCGATCCGGCTCGTCGATTCGATTCTGGTCGGGTATGGCCAGGACCCCAGGTCATGGGACCCAGTCAGTAGTGGGGCCAGGGAGCCCCTGAACTGGCCAGAACCTTTCAAGCAGGTCTGCCGCAGCTCGTGTTTTTTCGGGTGACGGCAGCTCCGGTTGGTGGAACGGGGGGGAGGCGTCCCCCGGTACACATCACTAAACCAGGTCCCACGAAGCCCAGTTCTGCCAACGCCCGACCTGGGCTCTCCCGCCAGGGGCAACGTCGGAGGGGATCGGCGAAGGGGGGGAGCGCAACGGCCCCGAAACGAAACCGCCCACTCGTCACCGAGAGGGGCCCGAGTTGTCCGCCCCGCCCAGGGTCGTGGGGATCTGCTGTCGGGGGCCCATCGCCGCCCTGGCGGCGACGCATCGTGCGTCGCCGATTCCAGCTCGATGTTCCCCCCCCCTGGGCTCAGAGGAGGAAAGGGCACCGATGCCGCTACCCTTCGCTCGTGTGTTCCCCTTTGGGGGCCTCCTGGGCGGCCCTCGTCGCCACCGCCGGATTCGCCTCGAGAGTCTGGTCAGAACGCACCCGGGGAGAGGTCCGGGGAGAGCGGCGGTATCGGTGCCTGTTGGTTTTTCCCCCCGAGTTGGTCGCCCCGACGATCCCCCCTCCAAGCAGGGCGGGGCAGGGTGGTGCGAGTGGAGCAGCAGGGGGAGGGAGGCCGCCACGGAGGGGCGGTGGGAGGGGTGGGGGAGCCCGAGGGCCGACGGCGCGGAGGGATCGAGGCCCCGCTTTCGAATGTGCGCTGGCCTCCCGCCTTCAGCACTGGCTTAAGGCTCACAGCCCAATATGGGTATAGATGTTCACCACTTCCTTTTCCTCCTCCTCCTCCTCCTCCTCCTCCTCCTCCTCCCCCTCCTCCTCCTCCTTCTCGTCCTCCTCCTCCTCCTCCTCCTCCCCCTCCTCCTCCTCCTCCCCTTCCTCCTCCCCCTCCTCCTCCTCCTCCTCCTCTTCCTCCTCCTATCGCGGGAATTCACCCCGGGAGCCCCAGACCCGATCTTTCCGTGCCACGTGTCGAGCCGGATCGATCTGTGAGGGTCCTGGGCCCGGAGACCGCGAAAATGTGCTTGGCTCAAGCAATTGGAGGCGCCAGGATCTCAGGGGAACGTGGAGGGCTCGCCCCATGCCGCTGCAGACGTCCCTGCCGTCGTCGTCGAAGGCGCCCCCAGACTTTCCCCACTGCCCCCCCGCGCGGGCAGGCTTTCGAGGAGGCGACGCTGAAGGGACCACGGCCGCGGCGGCTGAGTCCCCCCCTCCATCTGGGGCCTCCCGGGAGGGTTTGGGTTCGAGCTTCGAGGTTCGAGGTTTTCGGGCTTTTTCGTCGGTTCCCGGCAGCTTTCCAGCCGCGGGGTGGTCCCCAGCAGTTGCGCCTCGCCGAGAGCACTCTGGGGTGACCAGATTCTCCCGAATGGCCGCTGGATGCCCAAGCTGTGGCGCGGAAACCAGTGGGGACCTTCTAGTCGTGGGCATCGCTGTCAGGGGGGATAGGCTCAGGGGAGGATGCGTCGACCCCCAATCGCCCACTGGTCGCCGTTGAGTTGATCGGGGGCCTATCGCCGACCTATCGGCGATGTGTTGATGTGTCGACGCAAACCATTTTCCGTTTAACATTGTCGGTGGTTTTCGCAGCGATCAGACCACAGCACGCCAGAGGATGTCTTCACCAAGCATGGCCGCGAGGAGCGCTTCTAAGTGAAACATGACCTACCTGGTCTCAGCTGGGCCCTGACGCTTGTCCGCAGTGGTGTTTCTCGGGCTGCGCGAAAGGGTAGGACAGGGAAAGGGGGATAACGACATTCAGGAGGGGAACAAACACACAGGCACAATTGATCGTGGATTCCCCAGAAAATATGGGACAATCTGGGAAATGGGGGGGGGGACGACCGAAACCCAGAAACTATGGGAAAATGTGGGGAAGCCTTTTGTTTGTGTGTATCTATTCGTGTGTCCTTGGGCCCCTGGAGACCTCTGCCGCATGCAGCTGGTTTCCGCCCCGCCGCCGTGCCCACTCCCCGGTGCGTGGGCGCTTCCTGGCGCCGGGAGGCGACGGGAAGCCCAGCTGCTCGAGCCGATTCTCGGCCCCACCCTCTGCTCTCCTGCCCGTCCGCCCCCCGTCGAGTGCAGCTTCGGAGCGATCTTCGCCGTAACGCTGCTCTCGCCCGTCACGCTGCATGCAGGCTCCACCCGCTATGCCACCAAGGGCACATCTGGGGCAGCCGGAGTCCCAGAGAGCCACCAGAGACACGCCAGAGGCCCAGACCTAGCGCTCACGACGAAAACATCATCATCCAACATTATCATCATCAGGATCAGCATCATCATCATCATCATCATCATCAGCAGCAGCAGCAGCAGCAGCATCCTCCTCATCATCATCATCATCAGCAGCACCATCCTCATCAGCATCAGCATCAGCATCATCATCAGCATCAGCATCAGCGTCATCATCATCATCATCATCATCATCATCATCATCATCATCATCATCATCACCATCACCACCACCATCATCATCACCATCATCACCATCACCATCATCATCATCAGCTCCTCGTCCGCTCCTCCGTCCGCGCTTCTCAGGGGCTCCCTCGCGGGCGGCAGCCGCTCCGCGCGCGCTGCGTGCTCGCGCGCGCGGCGGGCCGCACCATGCGTCGAGGGGCGGCCGCGGCCCTCCTGGCGACGCTGGCATGGGCCGTCCTCCACGGCCGCCGAGCGGGGGGGGGTGGTGGAGAGAGAGAGAGAGAGAGAGAGAGAGAGAGAGAGAGGGAGAGGGGAGGAGGAGGAGGAGGAGGAGGAGGAGGAGGAGGAGGAGGAGGAGGAGGAGGAGGAGGAGGAGGAGGAGGAGGAGGAGGAGGAGGAGGAGGAGGAGGGAGGAGGAGGAGGAGGAGGAGGAGGAGGAGGAGGAGGAGGAGGAGGAGGAGGAGGAGGAGGAGGAGGAGGAGGAGGAGGAGGAGGAGGAGGAGGAGGAGGAGGAGGAGGAGGAGGAGGGAGGAGGAGGAGGAGGAGGAGGAGGAGGAGGAGGAGGAGGAGGAGGAGGAGGAGGAGGAGGAGGAGGAGGAGGAGGAGGAGGAGAGGAGGAGGAGGAGGAGGAGGAGGAGGAGGAGGAGGAGGAGGAGGAGGAGGAGGAGGAGGAGGAGGAGGAGGAGGAGGGAGGAGGAGGGAGGAGGAGGGAGGGGAGGAGGAGGGAGGAGGAGGGGAGGAGGGGAGGGAGGAGGAGGAGGAGGAGGAGGGAGGAGGCGGAGGAGGAGGAGGAGGAGGAGGAGGAGGAGGAGGGAGGAGGAGGAGGAGGGAGGAGGAGGAGGAGGAGCCTTCCCTCGTTTTCCCCATGTTGGGCTTAGGCCCTCGTCGCCACCGCTGGATTCGCCTCGAAGTCCTGGTCAGAACGCGCCCCAGGAGAGATCTGGGAAGTACCGTCATCGGTATCTTGTGGATTCCCCAGTTTGAGCTATCTTTCTCCCCATGGCATCTCAGCTCCATCATCACACCGCCCCAGCCGGGCATGTACCCGTCAAGCCCCGAGGGAACAGCCTTTATCCCCGTCTTTGGGGGGGTAGATCGGCCAGTGGGGATAGGGATCGGTTCAACGATGCTCAGCCAGTCATGGTAGCCGTGTAGACCCTCGTAACACCATGTTTGAAGTGCGCTAGCGTCGGATAGCGCCCGTAATCAAGGAAATAGCGCCGATTTAGCTTCGAGCGTTGATTTAGAGATGGAATGGGAGGCTCCCACGAGTTGCCGCAGAAGGGGGCATGGCTGCGCACCATAGACCATCGAGGAAACGAAGATGTGGATAGGGGCGCCGGGATCAGCGACGGGTCCTGCTTCCATGCGACATCGGCGCTCTCCGTCGCCAAGTGAGGCGGCATCTTGTTTCGGGGGGGGCACTCTCCCCCATCCGTGGATCTGGCGCCCGCGCGCCAGATCCGCGGATAGGTCATCCATGTTAGTGTGTGGCGGATCGACCCTTATTACCATGAGGGGCGAGCAGGGTCAGCACAGGAGTGGGCGGCCAAACGCGTGGTCCTAAAGGCTCCACGCTGCCGTCGGCGCCGACGGCATTAAGCCTGCTTTGTAGTGGTGCTCAGCACCAGCTCGTGGGAGAACAGAAGGCGGAACCGCATCAGCATGAATTTCCAAAGGTCCGCGCGGATTTCTCGGATCTGCGCTGGAACCCCCCGAGAGCGCCTCTGGCGACGCCCCTGGCGCGCTCGGTGCGCCAGGGACGGGGGTCCAGCGCCGATCCAAGAACTTCGCGCGGGCTTCCGAAAGTTCATGCAGGTGTAGTTCTCTTCATTCGGAGGTGGACAGAACCCCCCACAGTGACACGTCGATTAGTGAATTGTCAGTTTTCGGTTCTCGAGAGGGTGCCGTGGCCGTTATTTTCCAGACTTGCGCCCGCCAGGTTTGGGCCTCAGGTCGTTTTCACTAAACCACGTTTTACTAAAGGGGGGTCTATCCATCCCCGATTCATGCGAGTCGAGGCTTCGAGCTTCGTCGGAAGCACGCGAGCTCCGTGGGGGGGTATGCGATGGCAGGGGGGGGGGGAGCGCAGGGAGCACAGGGGGCGGCAGCTGCGGGCCTGTTCGGGGGGGGGAGGGCGGCATCAAGCGCCTGACGGTGGGAGGGGACGCGAGGGTGCACGGGCCGCCGCGAGGACGCGATCGTGTTCGCGTTCGCGGCTCGCGAATCGAGGCTCCTCGCCCTCGTCCTCGCCCGCGTCCTTTGTTCCCCCGCTCATCCTTGGGCGGGCGGCGCGAGAGCGCGAATGTGTTCGCGCTCCGCGCAGCGCGAAACGTGAACTTAGCTGCCCCTTGGACAGGGAGGCCGACAGGAGGGGGAGGAGAAGGAGGAGGAGGAGGCGGCGGAGGAGGAGGCGGAGGAGGAGGAGGAGGAGGAGGAAGGGGAGGAGGAGGACGCGGAGGAGCAGGAGGAGGAGGACGAGGAGGAAGACGAGGAGGAGCATGGAAGGCGATTGGCAAAATAGCGACAGCGGGGATGGCAGAAATGCGGGCTGGATGCACGACGCCGCCTCCCTATCCTCGCCGCGCCACTGCTGGATGCGCCTCGAGCTCTTGGTCAGACGGCACCCCACGGAGAGGGACTTAGCGGTATCGGTGTCTTCCTCAGCGTTTCAGAAAGGGAGAGAAAAAGAGAGAGAGAGAGAGAGAGGGAGAGAGGGAGCCAAAGCCAGACGGTGAGACGGACTCTAGATCTATATATATATATATATATAGCTAGATCTATATATATATATATAGCAATCGATCTATCTATATATATATATATATATCCATCTATCTATCGATATATATATATATATGTATGTATATATATATATGTATACATATATCTATCTATCTATATATATGTATATATCTATCTATCTATCTATTTATATATATATGTATGTATATATATCTATCTATCTATCTATCTATATATTTCTATCTATATCTCTATATGTATATATCGATATACCTATCTATATGTCTATATATATATATATCTATCTATCTATCTTTCTCTATATATATAGCTATATATCTAGCTATAGTTTCTTTATAAATATATGTTTTACGTATATATCTACAATACTATAAATCTATCTGTATTTATATATATCTATATATGTGTATCTATATGTATATCTACCTATATCTCTATCTATATATCTATCTATCTATATCTATATATCTGTATATATATATGCATATATATATATATATATATATATATATATATAGAGATCGGAGGTTGGGGGGTGAGTCCGACGTGAAACGGAGACGCCCCCAATCGGGAAGTCGATTTCGGTTTCGGGTTCGAGTCGTGCGTGCCGTGCGCGCGTGCGTGCGGGCGAGGCGAAGCTGCGTGGGCGGGCGAGAAAAAATCCTCCTGTGGCTGGGCCGCGGCCAGACCAAATGTTTCTCCTCCGGCCCGCGGTGTCCCGCTGGTGTCCCGAAATCTTCCTGTGGCTGGGCCGCGGCCGGACCAAATGATTCTCCTCCGGCGGCCGGTGGCCCGCGGTGTCCCGCTGGTGTCCCGCTGGTGTCCCGTTGTGTCCCGTGGTGTCCCGTGGTGTCCGCCGTTGCTGGGGCGAAGTCAAGACAAATGTCCGTTATGTCCCGGTGTCCCGTTATGGCGGTGGCTCGCGGTGGCTCGCGGTGTCTCCGTCTGGCGGTGGCTCGCGGTGTCCCGTTATGTCCCGTGTTGTCCCGTGGTGTCCGTCGTTGCTAGGGCGAAGACAAGGCGGTGTCCCGCGGTGTTCCGTGGTGGTGGCCCGTGGAGGCCCGCGGTGTCCCGTGGTGTCCCGTTGAGTGAGATCGATAGTGAGATCGATAGTGGGATCGATAGTGAGATCGATGTGGTGTCCCGCGGTGTCCCGTGGTGTCCCGTGGTATCCCGTGCTAGCCAGTGGTGTCCCGTTGAGTGAGATCGATAGTGAGATCGACAAGTGTCCCGTGGTGTCCCGTGGTGTCCCGTTGAGTGAGATCGATAGTGAGATCGACAAGTGTGTCCCGTGGTGTCCCGTCGAGTGAGATCGATAGTGAGATCGATGGAGTCAGATGTTGATTCCCCCCCTCTCCCCCCCCACAACCTCCTTATCACCCAAAGGGTGGTCGTATAGGTATGTGTATATATAGAGATATGTATGTATATGGGCATGTGTATGCACAAGGGATTCCATTGTCACACGTGCAAGCCCGACAGCCGTTACACAATACGTTTATCCATGTGTTGATGCACATGCTGGAGCAGTGCTGTTGCAAGGGCGTCGGCAGTGGCCACTACAGGACACGTGTGCAATCAGAGCGGTGGTCCGTGTTTGTTTCACGTAAGGTTTGATACAGCCTGTTGATTTAGATGATGATGTGGATGTCGACGCGGATGTTGACGAAGCTGTTAATGTAGATGTTGACGTAGACGTATTGTGTTGTGGTGGGTTTCTCGGCGGAGTTGGCATCGCTTCCATGCCAAATGGTAATGAGTGTTCATGATCGGTTCCGATTAGTTCATCTTGAGTACACGCAATCTCTATCGAATCCCATTGATTCCTGGTGGTCCCTATTGGTTGTTTTTGATTGCTATTCGTTCCTACTGGGTCACACTGATTCCTGTTAAGCCGTATCAATTCGTACTGAGCCGTGATGAGTCGTATTGAGTCGTATTGATTTCGATTGTTCCATCTTGATTCCTACATTCCTATCGATTCCACTCGATTCATATTGATGCTTGTTGGTTCCTGCGGAGTCCTATTGATTCCGAGTTATTCCTGGTGTTTCCTAGCCATTTCTAGAAATTTCTTGTGATTCCTATTGCCGATTCATTTCTATTGAACCTTCTTGATTCATACCGATTCCCTCCGATTCCCAGTTATTCCCCCACATGTTTAGTGGGGTTCTTGTTTTCTTCCCACCCGCGTCGCACCCGCGTTCACACACCCGCCTCCCCTCCTCACCCTTCCTTACCTCTCCTCGTCTCTGCTCCTCCACGCTCGACGTGCACAATACATCTGCGTTTTTGTTCCCACATGTTTCGTGGGGCTTTGGTTTTCATCCCCGCATGTCTCGTGGGGTTATGGCTTTCTTCCCTGTCGCGTCGCACCCGCGTCTCACCTCCCACCCCGCTCCCTTCTCATCCGTCAGGCCCGTCGTGCTGCACCCAAGACGTATGCGCTACGGTCCAGGCGTGGCAGTTTGCTCGACA